AATTTCATGGATTTATGGATAGCCTTAGGTGTGTGTTGATTGAAGCTTAGAGTGGCATCTAGAATAACTCCAAGGTCTTTAATTTGATTAACAGACCATTTAAGTTATAATCAAAAGTAGTAGTTGGTACATGGGATCGATAACAGCGCATGACATGGCACTTTATGGCATTCAAGTCCATGCCATTTAAGGAACACCAGTTTGATAGATTATCAAGGTCAGACTGAAGCCAGAGGGCATCATAAATAGGAAAATTTTTAAATCATCTGCAAACAATAGTGCTTTGCCATACTGAAATCAATGAATGATGTCATTTATAAATAAGTTGAATAATAAGGGATCAAGGTGTGATCCTTGTGGAACACCTGAGGTAACTAGAAATGAGTTAGAATAGTGATGGTTTACTCTATTTGAGTTATGTTCGTAAGATAGCTACTAATCTATTGCAGTACGACCCCATATATGCCATATTTATCGAGCTTTTAAAGTAAGAGAGAATGGTTGACCTTGTCAAAAGCCTTATAGTATGAGAGCCCACTGCAAATTTCGACCGTCATCTGATAACGAAATGAAATATGCTCCAAAAGCATGTAACAACATTGTACTTTACCAAATGGCACCTGTGCCAATCCCTATCCTGAGCAAAGTGGTTAAAAAAAATTATTTTATATTCTAAAAATCAAATAAAACATGACAGCGACAATTATGTTTTCCCTGAAAATTACAATCCTAATTCATTGCGAATCTCGCTTTTAAACCTGAATTATTAATATTTTTATCTACCTTTTAAACCATGTTTATGTATGAAAGGAAGAAGGATGGTATTGTATAAACCATTTGCAGAGATAGTCAATAATATTTATAAACTCTTGTTAGACAATTATTTTAAACCATAATCATAGTAGTTTTTTTGTCGTTTCTATGGCAACCTGTAAAAATGAATCACAACAATAGGCATACAAATAAATTTTTAAATCAGCAAACATTGATCCATATTTTTAATGATATTTACCTACTAATCGTGGATAGATGTTTTTGTGCGATGTTAAGAGGAAGAAAATATTTCCCTTTAACGATATATATCAAGATATATTTGAATGTTATTTTCTGGAAAACTTTAAGCGCAAACGAAATTAGAGCTGTCATGCCTTGTGATTTTTTTAATATAAAATAATTTTTTTAAGCTACTTTGCTCAGGATAGGGATTGGCACAGGTGTCATTTGGTAAAGTACAATGTTTTTCCATGCTTTTGGGGTATATTTCATTTCGTTATCAGATGACGGTAAAAATTTGCAGTGGGCTCTTGGGCTATTAGAAAAGAATCAATCTAGCAAAGCTTCCGGCACAAAGTCGACGTAAGTAACTAGATTTAATTCAGTCGATTTCCCAGCACAAAAACCATATTGATGATCCGTTATGATGCCAGAGAGAGCAGTCATAGGTAAGGTAATCTGTTATAATGTTCTTAAAAACCTTAGATATAGTACTGAGAATAGATATAGGTTGGTAATTTTTAACGTCTGACTTGCTACCCGATTTGTATATTGGGGTGACATAAGATAGTTTCCAATAATCTGGAAACTCACCCGTGGCGATAAGATTTATTGAAAATATAGAAGAGAGGGCGAGACAATACGAATCTGCAATTTCTGAGTAGGATGGGAGGAATAATGTCAGGACCTGGACCTTCCTTTATGTCAAGATTAGATAATTTCTCGTAAATGGTCGAAATAGGAAGATGGTGAGAGGAAACATTAAGTTTTTATTTAATTATTATTATGGTCAATGATGATAAATCTACTGAATAGTAGGATATTTAGCTTTGGTACTATTTATCCTATTAGTTGGATATTTATGAAACAGGCTATATCGATGGCTCAATCAAAAACCGCCACAAATTAAAATACAAAGAAAATTACATTTTTGGTTCCAATGGATACAAAATATCATTAAGGTTTTACTTTAAATACTGCCACAAACAAAAATATATCCTTAAAGATGTCCGAAAATCGTTTAAAATCTAGCCACAAACTGTGTCTAAAACTGCCTCAATTCGAGTTATTTTCTGCAAAAACACTCAAATTTTTTACAAACTATTCAATAGGGCGCTTTCATATTCGTAATCGTTAATTTTAACAGCAAAATATCGAAGCTTTTAAATAAAATATAAAGAATTTATGTCAAAGACAAAATAATGATAATAGAGACTTACAATATTTCAAAATGAAATTTTTCCAAACAATAGTATTTTAGTTGTGTCAGTATTTGGTTGAGCCATCGATATGTCCTACTAGTATGACACGTAGATAGTCCCAATACATAAATAGCCAATTCATACTCTCAGAATACATAGTCATGCTAGTACTATTATGACAAACTATTAAGATTATTTGGCTTGTTTTTATTGAAAAAAAAAAACAACATGCAAAGGTAATAATTTTGAAAACTCAAGAAATGAGCATGCAATACGAACACTTGTTGTATTACAGAAGTCGTTTTAGCTTATTTTTGAAGTAGATTAATTCCCTTTTTCTAAGCAGATATCCTTCATCAGTTGCTTATGAATTGGAATATGTGCTGAACTGTTTCTTTTTTAATTTTGATATAAGTTCGTTGATTACAATAGCTTTGTTCAAAGAGCCTGTCGCCGACAAGTACACGACTTGTCATTGATAAATAATCAGAAACGTTTGTGGGAAACTGCGAATTATAACAAATCCCTGACAAAAGATCACCGCGAACGACTTGTGTACCAAAATGACTATCATACACTTTATCTGCAAATGAAAGTGACACAGAAGACTTACAGATTGTAAAGATAGTTTTTAGAATTGATATCAGAAACATTGCATTGTAAAAATTGTAATTTTTAATTGTTTTTTTAAGGTCGAACATTCAATTTTTATAATTTATTAAAAACTCAAATAACAAATCCTCTTTTTTCGGTTCTTTTTGTTTCTTTGTTTACACAATTTTTGCATCACTTGTACTTACTATGCATGTTCTGACAAATTATCCACGTTGTTTGCTGATTGTTTTGACTTGTGTGCTACTGACAAGTGTTCCGCGAACGCTGGATATTTTGTTAAAATCCCAGAGTTTTGACTCTGCAAATACATGAAATCAAAAAGCACATGCCTATCTGTCGTGGACTTCTCAGAGACAGGCTACGCGAATAAAGCTAATTAGGAACGTCAAAAATCCAAAAATAAAAAAAAATTGGTTATGCAGCACAATAATGAACATGAATCAACAGCCTCTATATGCTTATATCAAAAGAAAGTGCTGCCAGTTGAGGAATAATTTATTTATAAATCTTCCATTGTAGAACTTACGTCAAATAAACCTAATTTATATTTACCAAAATATTCTAACAATAATTTGTCAATTGTATGGACAGACTACCCAGTTTTGCATTCATATTTTTATTTCTTGTTTAGAAATATTATCACTACTTTTATAAAATTTTTTGTAATTTTACAAATAATTTTGTGGCTATGGGTTACAACCACAAAACTATTTTGGTGTTAAAGTAGACCTCTCTAGAGAGCTTTGTTTCTAAATAAAGCAAACATTAAAAATTTTGACTTAAATACAGTTTTTTTCCGGATGTGCAATATTTAAATGTTATACCTTAATTATAAATTAAACAAAGAATACAAACAAATTATAAAATAAAGTAGCCCGTTTCCATTTGATAAAATTTGGTTATCGTGAATTTAAAAGAGGAGATTTTTAAAAAACACCCTGTATAGGTAATAGATAATTTCTGTGTCAGCAAAACCACATGTTTCTACGATTTGTTTAAAAGTTATAAGCTCTGGAAATAGACTACTTTTTATTGGGACACCCTGTAAATAAAATTTGTAAAACTAAAGTCAGGAAACAAAAAAATAAAAATAAAATAATTTATTTGAGAAATGAGGAAAACAAAATTTGCCAAGTTAGCAAAAACAGTAGATATCATGTGTAAAACAGAAAAAAGTCAAAACAGTAGATCTACTACAATAGGCCCAAAATAAACAGTAATGAACTTATATAATTCTTTTATTTAAGAAATACATATTATTTAGACCTTCTCCTTGAATATTGGAAACACCTCTAATTCATTGATGGTTTGTGGTGTATTTCTGAAGACCGTTTCTTTGTTCATTGTGTCTGGAAAAGTAAGATCTGGTAGTTCTTGACAATTACGCGCTACTACGTAAGTACTGTTTATTTTGGGCCATACTGTATTAAAAAGCAGGTCTTGCAACACTGCTATAATCTCTAAATCTAAAATCATTTGTAATAATTTGAACAGCTGCAGGATATTGCTGAAAACTATTAACATGTAAACAGTAATTGAATTGGTACTGCCATCTTCTGTATAATACCTGTATATTTCCATGTAATAAATCCTGGGATTTGGCTACTTTTTCTACTGTTTGATTGGCACGTTCAGTATTAATATTAAAAAATAATTGTCTAGTAAAGTAATTGATATAATCAAGCAGCCAATTATACAATTTAACATCGTTTTGTAAATAATTATCTCAAATTATAAAACATTTGTATTTAGTTCATCTTTAAACTTTAAATTTGCTTTCCTAAACATCTTGGTAATTGTAAATCAATGGTTAATGGCAGACTGTTTTCTCAAAGCATTATAAATAGCAATTAAATTAAAAACATCTTGGCATTTATTATAAATCTTCAAAATTATACCAAGATATTATAAATCTGTCATTATTATTAAGAACTTTACAACATAAGACTTTTAATTACGTACTATACTATGTTAACTCTTTCCTTACAATCTTAGAACAGAATAGAAACACAACAGTATTGATTAGAGATAAATAGAATAATAGGTAGGTGGACAACAATATACATGCAAATATACTATATCTGTAATTGAAAGGGCATAGTTAAAGCAATTGCCTCTCTTTATTTCAAATTTATATATCAGGATTTCTAGGTTAACATACTCTATATGAACATAAAACTTAGTACTTACATTATTTATTTGTGTACTTCTATTTTGCAACTATCATAAGGCGATTTTGTAAAATTAGTGAAGGTCATTCTCACAACACGTTATCTTCTTAATCTTTTAATTTCATTTTTCCCTTTTCTAGATTCTAGATCAAGTTTTATGACAACTTAAGGCCATTATCAAGTCCCAAAATAGACCTGAAAAAGTAAAAGTAAGTTATGTGAATTTGGCTACAGAAACTACAAAATTAGCTAAAATTTTTACAAACATGAAACTAATACTATATTTTTTCAAAAAAATACCTGCATTTACCAGTGGAAATTAGAACATTTTAAATTCAAGTGAAAGAAAATAAAATATGGGGTTATTTTCTTTCTTCTATACTTTTCAAATTTTGTGGTCTCTTTCTTAAAGAAATTTGGATTTCTTTGTAAAAAAACATCTCATTGTCAATTTCATCAATTTTTCTATTAAATCACTTTTCATGGCCTGTTTTTATCAGCTATTCAGTTCGGCATTGAGCGCGGATCCGTTTACGGAATATTGTCCACAGCTAGTACGACTACTCTTTCATAGATGTCACGTTAACAATTAGGCATTCCAAACAAATGAATTACCAGTGGGCAGGTTTGGTATATCTAAGGGTGGCGACATATGGTGTATTCTATCTACTTTACGTAAAATCATAAATAATGGATTACATTTAAATATTTTATGTCAAACACAATAAAAATAATATTTAAAAAACCCACCTATACATTTCTTCATAAATTGGCAGGCTTGGCGAGTACTACTTCGAATAAAAATAGCGTCCAAGTTGCAAGACTATGTCACTACCCCCTTAAATATACAAGAATTTCCCACTGGCACCTATTGTTTGACAGGTCGTTGGAATGCCTAATTGTCATTATTTGACGTTTGATTATCATGGTGGATTTTAATTTTTAATACGGAATTCAGTGGCAGAGGTGAAAGTTCAAGGATTAAAAATAATTATTTCGCGATTAAACCACACTTATCTTATATTGTTATAAAATAACAATAAAAAATTTGATGACTAATTTATACACGAGCAAAAATCTAATCTTCAACTAGTTATCAAATGTTGTTTATTCGACATAGGTATATAGGTTATCTGTAGAACAAGAATATTTTTGGCAATTTCAATTTATTAAGGAAATGCTGGTAAAACAACCAGAAAACCAATCAAAACAATGTGAGGAACCCAGGTGAAAGTTTACATGATTTATTATTAATATTATAAATAAATTAATTTATTAAATAAATAGATAACTTGTTGAAGATTTTATAATGAGATTATTAAATAAATTATTTTTCTTTGTCGCTTCTCCATGCATAAAAATATTGTCTAAGGTATATTGTGCAGTGGTATTTACAGTATTAAGGTAACTATAAATAGAAATATTTCTATTTCCATATTATATAATTTTAGAACAGGTTTAATCAAAAATTTGTAATTCATTACAGCTGGGTGAGTCCGAACTGGCTATCATGGAATAAATACTCTGAGAGTATGTTAAGATCTTTAGAAAAACGAATATTAAGTAGTAAGTTTTTTAATGAGTATATTTTCTAGTTTAATAATAAAATATATGATTGTTGTAGTTGTTAAAACTCCTCATAAAGGATTTTTCGTTGATATTGGACCTGTTGTTGGTCCCGCTGATAAAATATGGACCATTTCGTTGAATACAGAGTCTCCAAAGACTCCGTTGGTGCTACTACATGGTTTAGGGGCTGGAGTAGCACTTTGGTGCTTAAATTTGGATGCTTTTGCTGCCACCAGACCAGTTTACGCTATTGATCTTTTGGGTAAATTTTTCTTTTTATTCATTCAATTATTTAATGGTATATTAAAAGAGAAATTTTGATTTTGCATTACCTACTTGTTACTGATACAATGTAGGTTATGGGGACAGTAAAATATGTATTAGAAGTTAGAAGAAATCATTTAGGTGTGAATAATGTTGCATATTTGATCAGTAATGTAATTTATCACATTTTCTCTTTGAAAATAAGATTACTTTTTTCATACAAAGCTGTTAAAGGTTCTAAAAAAAGATCACATATCGTTTGTAGATACAAATTGGTATTAAAACATGGGGAATTTGAGTATGAGGACATGCAGTGATAATTGAATTTAGAATTGCTGGAATTTCGTAGTTTAACTGTTAACCTTGTTGTATTATTTAAATTGATTTTGGGTTTAACTAATTGCAGCAACATTCTTTAAATTCAGTTCCATATTCTTCAAAGGTGTACAAGAAACAAAGTCTTGTTTATTGTGCTCTTTCAATCAACAAATTATGGCTATTTTAGTTCTTTATCAAGAATGGTCAGAAAGACCAATGAGTTAGATATCAATTTTTTTGTCAATCTATATTCTTTTAAAAAAACTGAAATAGATCTCAATAGGTTTGTATTATGTAAATATTTGGATTATTATAGTATGTAAATATTTGGCTAGACACTGTATATTTTTCTATTGTATTCTACTTAGTGAATTTGGTTATAGTTTAATTATAAATAGTCCAACAAGTGTTCAAGGAAACTACAAGGCATGTCTTGACCATATTTTTGTAAAAGTAAAAAACCAGTCAATGTTGGAACATGTTATACCTTTAATAATAAAAACTGACATTACAGATCATTATTCCACGGCGTTACAGTTAATTCACAATTTTAATAATAAAAATATGTCTAATCATATTAATTATGAAAAATTAAAAAATCAATTTCACCAGATTATAACATCCCACATAAATAAATGTATCAAAAACGTCAAGGTATATAGAAATAATTAAAAAATTGTGCCCTGGATAACTAATGAACTGGTCAGCATAATTCATAACAAAAATAAACTACACAAACAAGTAAAAAGGTATCCTAATAATGAAAATTTAAAAAGTAAATACAAAAATGTAAGAAATATAACAAATTTATTTAAAAAGTGCAAATATACATACTATCAAAATCTCATAAATAAAAATAAATCTGATTCACAGCAACTTTGGAAAATTAATATTAATATGTCATATTGTAATAAAAAGAATCTTGAAATAAAATCAATAAAGGATGAAGTGGGAAATTTACTAATAGATCCAACCCAAATAACTTATCAATTTAATAAAATATTTGTAAACATAGGAAAAACTCTAGCAAAACAAATTACACAAGACCCTCAGTATATTCCTCCAAAAACATGTCTCCCAAATAGTTTTGTGTTGTACCCTACTGATGCAAAAGAAATAAGAAATGTAATAAATAATTTAAAAACAAAAAAAGCACCAGGGATTGATGGAATTAAAAGTTATATTTTAAAAATTGTATCACCCTATATTGAAGAACTTTTATCACATTAAAAATGTTTTTATGAAGAATGGTCGATATACTGATACTTAAAAAAGGTGATGCAAATAATGTAATAAATTATCACCCAATATCTCTTATATCTAGTTTTTCCATGGATTTGAAAAATTTTTGGAAATTCGCCTTAACTAAATACAAATTTTTATCAAACAAAAAATATATATGCATCATTAGACGCCAGTAAACTTTGCTTATGCGTGTTTCTTGATTTATCAAAGGCATTTGACACGATAAGCCATCACTTTCTCCTGCAAACATTGAAGGATATTGGGATTAGAAGCACTTCATTAAATTTATTTACTATGCAAACCGTAAGGATAGCCAATAGCTACAGTAATTGTATGCTCATTAAATATGGTGTGCCTCAAGGCACTATCTTAGGTCCGCTCCTATTTAATTTCTACATAAATAATTTATTTTCGATTAGGTCGAAGCGTAAAATTTTGGGGTTCCCAGATGAAACGGCGATTTTCTATAGGGAGCAACTGAAAAATATGGTGGAAAACGATTTTTCTGCAAAACAAAACTGGTTAAACTATAAATTTCTAACAATAAACGTAGAAACAACCTTTTACTTACCTTTTTTCTGTAATAAATCCACAGCTCCCTCCTTCAATCAACTAAATATTATTACCAGTAACAACCAATATATAATAAATTCAGTAAGTAACATGAAATATCTTGGTATATTTATTTGGACTTGCATATGAGTACATATTTTTTATAATGGCAAAAAACTAAGATGTTTTCTCAATAAGTTTAAATATTTAACAGCAATATTAAATGTTAATCAGCTTAAAATCCTCTATTATGCATTGGTTGAGAGCCACCTTAGATATGGTCTTCTTTTTTGGGGTAATGCGCTGAAAACTCACCTTCATTCATTGGAGATTTTATTGGGCAGCGTTCCTGTACATACATGAGCCCAAAATTGTTTAATAAGATTTCAGTAGAATTAAGAGTAATAACTAATCCGCATAAATTTAAAAAATATTTAAAATCATACATACTTGAAAAAACTCGACAGTCAATAATTTGTATAGTGTAATTCCTAGATCAGCGTTCTCTATTTTCATATATTAAATTTTTCTAAGCTTTAATAACGGGTATTTTTTTTGTATTTATCTAAATTTATTGTATCTATATTTGTATATACATATTAAGCTCTACTAACACTTTCTGATCTTTGTAATTTTATTAAATATAATTTTTTTGTATATTATGTTCATTTATTGTAAGTTTTTCTTTATTGTTTTTGTGTTTGTAATTATTATTATTATTATATAAATGCTCTAAATTCGAAAACAGCGCACAAAATCTGCATAAATTAAAATTGTTGTATCAACTTCATATAACTTCTCAAATTATAAATATTTCCTATTCTAAGAAAGTTAACATTAGCATGGAACTATCATATTTATGACATTAATGCAAAATATGATAATTTTGTAAAAAATATTTTAAACTTATTAGATTCTGTAGCGCCAAAAAACAAATAAAAATATTTTCCAAATACAAAAAATGGTGGAATGAAAATGTAAAAGCTGTCACAAGGCACAGAGACCTTGCATATAAAAATTATTCACAAGAAAAAACAGAAAATAATTGGAATGGATACAAAATGCATAGAAATAAGGCCGTTAACGTAATTAGAACAGAAAAGAGTAATACACTTTATTATTTTATCAAAAATAATTGTTTTTTTTTTTAAAGAACTTTTTCTCATGTATATAAACATTTTTGGGACACACTGTATAATAGATTGCGACGTGCTCGAAGAGCACGTCGTTAACAACAATATCTAAATACATTTTATTGTTAACGACGTGCTTGAAGAGCACGTCGCAATCTATTATACAGCGTGACTCAAAAAGTTTTATATACATGAGAAAAGTTTTATTTTTCTACAAAAATAATTATTCTTGATAAAAAGTTTTGCATTACTAGGAAATCTATAATTGAGTATTAATATTTTTATTTTGATTTTAAATATTCTATAATTAAAAATAAAACCGCGGAGTATTTTATCAAAAATATTTGTTTTTTTAAACAACTTTTTCTCATGTATATAAAAATTTTTGGGGTACACTGTATAATAGAGTTGAATAACTTAATTGAACTTGAACTAGAAAATAATGTTATTATAAAAAATATTTTTGACATGCCAAATGCTTTTAAGACCACAGTACCACCCCCAATATTCGTAACATGAACTAATTTTGATAGATGTCATTTATGTGTCATAAATTAAGAATCCTTTTGTTCAGCAGATGGAGCAATATTCCATATTTAATAGTTCTTTTGTTCAACAGATGGCGTAATAATTTTATTAGTTCTAAACGGTAACTGTTATAAAATACCTAACAAATTCATCACCCCTAGCTACTACGCGATAATAACTAAACGAGTTCTTGACCTTGACAAATATTTTCGATGAAACAGGTATAAAAATAAAACTTTTGCATTAGATTCGGCACGTCGGTATATTTATTTAGTAGCAGCGTTGGGTTTATTAGTACAATTGTACTAGATTCAGTACATTTCAACCATTCATAAATGCTAGTACCACAAAAGACAAAAGTATCTAAATCTAGTACATTTTAAATATTTCGCTGGATCTTCTAGAATAATGTATTCTATGATTTCCAATTTCTATGCTAGACAGTAGATACTTCTGATACGCCCAATGCGATACTTTATACCAGGGAGGCTATTTTCAAACTCGAGAAAAGTCATTCCTCTCAAGAGAAATGTCATAATATGTCAACGTAAAACAGTATTTTTAGGGCCCTTGGGGCCAGTGTGAACTCACAGATTGTTTCTCTTGGTTTATTTAGAGGGAATACAAATTCTCGTAAGAATTTTAATCCTCGAGGCCTTTAAAACAGCGTTTCCACATTGACGTACGACATTTCTGATGAGAATCTTGAGAGAAATGAGTGCTCCCATACTTTGAAAATAATGGGTAAGAGATAAGGGAGTATGAGTCTTCATATAAGGGACATAAATATAAGATACGCTCCTAAGCATATGCTTAACAACCACCAGCTCGAACGCAGTTAACATCTGGCCCACTATGTGTCGCTATCATCGATATCAAACAAATAACCCAGCGGGAAATTTAAAAACCTGATAAATATCGACTACACTTTCATGTTCTAGTAAATAAATTTAAACATTGTTAATTACGGTAAATTATTTATTAAAAAGAATACTACACTTACAGTCTATTATAGATTAATTATTGTAAATCTATTGACATAACAAATATTTTTTAATTTTTACCCTTATTTTATTTGTTTTTCTATAAAAAATAAGTGTTTGTTTTTATTTTTAAATTTTATTATTTAACCATATAAAAATATATTTTTGTTTTACGTATTTTAATTTATATTTTTTTGTTTAAAATAAAGTTTATTTTGGTTTCTTTTTAAATTTTTTAT